CGTACACGGCATTCATATATCAACAATACCAAATCCTAAGGGGAGTTCCCCCACACAAGGTTAGGCAAGTCACTTACCTCGAACCAGCTCAATCAACTCGAAATAACGTTCTTGCCACGAGTACCCGACTCCAAATGGCCCAAATCAATTCAAATTTGTTGCATAATGTAAATATAACTTCAACTAGCTAATTAAACTAAATTAAATTCGAAGATAGCACGAGAAATTAAGAAAATCCCTCAAAAAGTCCCTCGGGCCCACGTCTCGAAATCAGATAAAATTCATAAACGAAAATCCTTACGCTCTCACGAGTTCATGCATACCAAATACATCAAAATCCGACCACATACAACCCCTCAAATTCCCAAATCAAAGTCTGCAATTTCAAACCCTAACCCAATTTTAACCACCATTTTCCCATAAAATTCCTTGTCAAATCAGTGAAATAACCCCATATAAACAATTTTTGGTTCCAAAAATCTTACCTCCTTGAAGCTCCCTTGAATTCTCTCTCAGAAATCTCCCAAAAAGCTTCAATCCCGAATAAAAATGGTGAAAGAGAGCTGAAAATCGTGAAGGAACCCTTATATAGGTTCTGGCCCAGGGTTTCCGCACCTGCGGCCCTTTCCCCGCTTTTGCGGTACCGCTTTTGCGGTCTGACCAACCGCATATGCGATTTTCATTTAATGCACTAGGACCGCACCTGCGCCAATCTTCCTGCACCTGCGGTCCCGCAGGTGCGATAAAGCACCCGCACCTACGACTTCTGACTTTCCCTCATCTGGCCGCATCTGCGGCTGACACACGCTTCTGCGGTTAAGCACCCGCGGTCCCCAAACCGCAGGTGCGATTATAACAGGAATTCAGCAGCTTCAGCTGCTCACTCTAACTCCCAACATCCCGTCAACCATCCGGAATCATCCCGAGGCCCCCGGGACCTCAACCAAAAGTAAGAACAAGTCATATACCACTATTCAAACTTGTACCAATCTTCGGAACACTCAAAACAACATCGAATCATCAAAACACCCTCGGATTCAAGCGTAAGGATTCCAAAACTTCCGATTTTCGCATTCAATAAAAAAGTCTTTCAAACCTCGTCCGAATGACCAGAAATTTTGCACACACATCCCAAATTACACAACGAACCTACTCCAACTTTCAAAATTCCATTCCGACCCCGATATAAAAATCTCACTATTGAACTGGAAACTTCAAAAATTGAACTTTTAGCATTTCAAACCTAATTAAGCTACGGGCCTCCAAAACACAATCCGAACACGCCCTTAAGCCCGAAATCACCCAACGGAGCTAACAGAACTGACAGAATTCTATTCCGAGGCCGTCTTCACACTGCTCCGGCTACGGTCCAAATTCTGAAGCTTAAGCTCTCATTTAGGGACTAAGTGTCGCAAAACACTCCGAAACTCAAAACGAATCCTCCTGACAACTCACAATAGCAGAAACAAACAAGGGGAATGCAGTTAATAGGGGATCGGGGCATTAATTTTTAAAACGACCGACCGGGTCGTTACACCTGTGGAGCTCACAAATGCGAAGCCTGATCTTGCAATTGCGAAATCAGAGGCCTGCAACAGATACCAGATCAACAACAGATTTTTCTAAGTCCTAACTAACTCCGTGGTCGAAAACTCACCCGAGCTCTCGGGGCTCTAAACCAAACATGCATACAAGTCTAAAAATAACATATGAACTTGCTCGCGATATCAAATTGCCAAAATAATATCTAGAACTATGAATTGGACACCAAAACTCATGAAATTTTCAAGATAGTTCAAAATTTCTCACATTTCAACCAAAGGTCTGAATTACATCAAATCACCTCCGTTTTCACCAAATTTCACAAACACGACTTAAATATTATATCAAACCTGTACCGGGCTCCGGAACCAAAATACGGGCCCGATACCAACGAGGTCACACACTAATTCCATTTCTAAAATCCTTATATAATTTCCAGCAAATAATTTTCTTCAAAAATTCATTTCTCGGGTTAGGGACCTCGGAATTCGATTCCAGGCATATGCCCAAGTCCCATATTTTACTACGGACCTCCCGGGACCGTTGGGGCACGGGTTCGGGTCCGTTTACCCAAAATATTGACCGAAGTCAACTAAAATCATAGTTTTAAGCCAAAAATTATTATTTCTTAAATTTTTATCACAAAAGCTTTCGGGTATCGCGCCCGGATTGCGCACGCAAAGCGATGAGAGATAAAAGGAGTTTACAAGGCCTCAGGACACGGAAACGGATTCTAAAATAAAAGATGATCTTTTGGGTCATCACTGTAGAAATGTGATGAATAAGACATATTTGATTTTGAGATGAAAATAAAGTAATGGTAAGAATTTTGTTTAAATAATATGATCTAATATGCTCAAAAAACGCAGATCACTTTACTACTTGGCAGCAAAGTAAAATGCAAGTACTAAAATCAGGGGGCTGGATTGTTATAATATAGAAAAAATAAGTTGTCCACTACGAGAAATAATTTTATGTCCTGCTTCTTAATTAATATTTAAATAGATAATTTTAATATAAAAAGTTTATATTTTAAGATTATTTGTACGGATTCAAATAACCCAAATTATAATTTGATATGGTTATGCCCGCGTATCGCGCGGGTACTAATACTAGTTTATTTAGTTTCTTTTAGTATTCTAAAAATCAGGATTTCACATAGTTATTTAAATAAGGAAAGTTTTAATAAGAAAGTTTTAGTTGATTTCAAACTCATAAATATTAGGATAACAATAAAATAATTATTTCTACATATTAGGAAATAAATTAAATTACTATTTTGTCCAATATATAATTTAAATTAAAAAGGTAAAAAGACGAACGATATTTTGTTAGGAGCCTTCGTGCTTTTAATATAGTTTAAATAGATAGATATAGATTAGTAATCTTTGTAAAAAGTTCTTTGACTGACTGTTTGGTGACTGATATCTGTTGATTTTTATTTGAGCCAACTTGTATATTGTCTTCTAAAACTCTAGTAGATTTTGTTCCTTGACCTTGGCAGCAATTCGATGGGTTACTAAGATTATCCAAGCCTCTTGTGTTATCTTTGCATGTAAAAATTTGTTATAAACCTGCAATTCGACCTCTGTCAAGATATAATAACGTGCCTTGTAATCCAATTGCCTATTTCTCTTCAGTTGTGAAGCCACTTCGTGTGTTAATGTTTTGCCGTTGCAGAAGTCTTTTTTCTTTAATTGAGAGTAACGGCCCAACCCTATAATGATATTGTCTGCTCTGGGCTTAGTCTCTTACTAGAATCTAAGGCTTGTTAACTCATACATCCAGCATCACTCTTTTGTTTTGCCAATGTGGAACTTTGTCTAAAGTATGAGGTGTTACATACACCCCCTTGTAGATACCATCTATAATAGCCCGGTACGCTAGTGATATTGTCCGCTTTGAGCCTAGGCCAACACGGATTTAAAACGCGTCAATAGCGTCTTAGGCTTGTTAACTTTTATATATACCCAACATCCCTGTTGTATTTTACCGATGTGGGACTTTATCTGAAGTCTGGGATGTTACTAATGGAACATCTTAATCTAACATCATTCAAAATATGCTTCCTAGCCAAGCTCCCCCTCCCCTCCCCCTCCCCTCCTACCCCCCCCCCCCCCCAAAACAAAATCCATCAAACGCGAAAATAGATCAAATTAAACATATAAATGTGTAATATCCATATTCTTTTATAGATATGATCTCACACAACTTTGCAACTAATTTGAATATTTTGATACTCAACACATCTTAGTTTACTCTTAAAATAGGTAGCAAATCCCTATTTATAATAGTACATATTTTGATTAGAAACTAGAAAGCATATTCCTGTATGATTTTGACTAAAAACCTTAATAGATATAAATCTAACAAACTAGAAAATACCAAATCCTATAGTTTATAGTAATTCCTAATACTTGTTTGATTCCAAAACAATCTCAATTTCATTATATGTAAGTTATTGTTCACCTAATATCTCAGTCTCAATCTTTTAATTTTCTTAAGTATACATATAAGTCAAAGATACTGTCCATGTTGTATTTCCCATGTGATGATTCCTTATTTATAATATGAAAAATAATTGTTCAACACTAGACTGCTAATTAGCATATTGACGGTTATAATGCATGTGTCATTTGTATATAGCTGCAATATTGTTATGTTAGGTGACTATTCTGGCTAAGGCTAGCTTTAGCAATCTAATATTCGATTATTAAAATAAATATCGGGAGTATATTAATCAAGAAGTCAATGACCTTAAAGAAGCCATAACCTTCTGCACTTTGGGCACTAACACCATTAAATTTTGAATTCTAGTAGTTTAATGGACGCCCATATTTTACGAATACATCCACATTTAATATGTAAAAACCTGTAGGTCACTTGCTATGACTGTGACGTGTCATACTTCCAAGATTATAGTGTATTTATCCAATATGTTTGTTGGTAGTTAGGGGTGTGCTGTGGACCATTTTTTATTATATTAGGTGTAAGGCGATGTGAGTTTACTGGTTGATGTGAATTTACTATTATGCGTCATTTCCCATGCCCCAATTCTATAAGTAAGTAATTACTTTTCGTTTTTTGTTTTAGTTTTTCTTTTCCTTTCCCTCTGTGAAATACTAAAATAATCTTTTTTCATTGTATGGGCAAAAGAGGGAGCCTTCTCTCCTTTGCGCTGCACGTTGTTAAAAAAAAGACAGCGCCTCTCTTTTTTTGAAGCACATGCAAAATGATCTGAACTTCAATATATATATATATATATATATATATATATATATATATAGGTATATATATATATATAT